GGGCAGATTGTAGTAGAGTAACTCAAGAGATAGGTTGAATTCTGTTGTCACTAAGATCTGCTGCCAATCTATCACCTGTTTTGTTTTTTAAAAATTGAGATGAGTTTAATAAAATACAAGATGAAACATCAAAATGAAGCCTTTTAAAGTGAAACATTCAGTGACATTTGGTATTCACAGTATTGTACAACCCCCACCTCTATGTGGTTCTAAAACATTTTCATCACAAAAGAAAACTCTGTACCCATAGCAGTTACTTCTCATTTCCCCCAGGTCCTGGCAACTGCTAATCCGTGTTTTGTATCACTATTGAGTTAATTAGCACCAAAAGGAAAAAGACACTACCACAAGGTGGCAGTGGCATCCAAGGAGCTTTAGGTAGGTAGCACTTTGACAGGATCTCCAGCTGTAAGAGGGGACCTCCCTCACCTAAACCACAGGAGACCTTCTAGAGATACTGACATGGGGGTCGCCACCCAAAAGGGAGGAAGGTAAGGGAACTCCCCAGGAAAGAGGGGGTTACGTGACTAGGTGAAGTCACTCTACAGCAAGGTGGAGAATCTCTGGGTCAAAGAGCTCTGAGGGTAGCCATGGCTTCAGGTCATTAATAGGTCCAAGGTTGTCTTATCAATGGTTAGTCAATGTTGTGCAGTTGTGTGGGGTATGCAAAGCTCTAAATGGCTAAAGGTATGCTTACTGGGGCTATTTTAAAGCAATTGGATATGAAAACATTTACATTTTGGGCTTTTGAGCCAACGATCCTTGCCTAAGAAGTGAAAAACATATAAGCAATGTAAAAGGACAATTTTTTGGCTCATTTATATATCAATAATATAACAGTCTTCAGATTTACCCATTCTGGAAACTTCATACAAATGGAATCATGCAATATTTGACCTTTTGCACCTGGCTTCCTTCACTTAGCATAGTATCTTCAAGGTTTATCCATGTTGTAGCATGTGTAGATGCTACATTCTTTACAAGAATTTCATTCATTTTAAAGGCTAAATAATACTCCATAGTATGGCTATACCACTGTTTGTTTAGCCATTCATACCTGTTGATGGACATTTGAGTTGGTTCTGCCTTTTGGCTACTGTGAATAATGCTGGTTTGAACTGGAAAATAAAACACTGTTCTGGTTTGCCTGGCCCATATCTGGGTGCAGTTCCTGCGCTGCCCTCTAGGTCCTGCTGCGTAGAACAGCTAAGGGCACTCTTCAACCACAGAAAAGTTGTGCTTTAACCATCTCCTCAGAACTTGGTATAGGCCAGCGTGAACCCAAAACCAGAAACAAACAAACAACAATAACAACAACAACAACAACAACAAAAGTGCAGTCTTTTCACGTCATATTTCTATTGTGTTATCAGTCTCCTTCCTTGATATGATCAGCCCCATGAATAGGACTCACTCATGCTAACATTTTCCTGATGGCTAATAAACTACAACCAGAAGAGGCCTGGCTCTGACATACGCTGGACCTGGCTCAAAAGTGCAAATGAAGGTCTACATATCATACGACACCAGGTTTCTTCCTTTGCCACCCAATCCAGGCTGAGCAAGTTGTGGCCCTTCTTCCTACTAGAATCTTACTTGCTTACCAAAAGAATCTGAGGCTGCAAGGCCAGGTTTGCGGTTAGAATTCCTGAACTCTCAGTCAGGCTCCCAGGCACATCCCCCTTCTGCTTCCACCCTGGCACCCTCCCAACCAACGAGGATACACATCTGTGTATCCTCCAGTGTATCCTCCAGCCCAAATGTTTACTCTTCTTCAATACCTCTTGCAAACTGCTGCCTGTGGCCACCCCATGGGTCTAACCAGAAGCAGCACAGTCCACCTTTGAGAAGGTGGACCCGAGGAAGCCTCTCACAAAGACTGTGGAAGTTGGCTTGGACTGTTTGTACAGAAAATCTGGAATTCAGGTAGTAGGAACATGGTCTAAAAGGGGCACAGGCTATGGGACAGCCTGGTCCCTTAGCTCCTTGGAGTTTTCTTTTCTTTTTTTTTAAGAGACAGAGTCTCACTTTGTCGCCCCTAGTAGAGTACTGTAGTGTCACAGCTCACAGCAACCTCCAGCTGTTGGGCTTAGGCGGTTCTCTTGCCACATCCTCCGGAGTATCTGGGACTACAGGCACCTGCTACAACGCCTAGCTATTTTTTTTTGTTGCAGTTCGGCCAGGGCTGGGTTTGAACCCACCACCCTCGGTATATGGAGCCAGCACCCTACTCACTGAGCTGCAGGAGCCACTCTCCTTGGAATTTTCTTAAGGGCCTGTTTCAAGGTGGTACCAACCCAGATACTCATCTAACTAAGCCTTACACAGCTGCTTGCTCTTCAGTGTTTCAAAAGTAAGTAACAGAATATTTAGAAATAGACACCTAGTGTCAAAATGCAGGGGAATGATTTCCCCAACACTTAGGACGCTAGTTATCTCTGGGAGGATGGAGAGGAATGATTGTAGACATGCAGAGGGTGGCTTCTAAATGCTGCTTAACCTGGGATATACTGGTGTTCATTTTATTATTATTCTTTAAACTATACATGTATATATAAAACCAAGATTAGATATCCAAAGTGAGAATATGAGGCAAAATAGTTAATAAACAATTAGATAATACCTCACTAATGTCCTTTAGTATGAAGGTGATAAAGAAGGACAGAAATTCCATGTATTATCTGGTTCAATACCTATTAATTATTTTGTCTCATGGTCCCACTTTGAGTATCTAATCTTGATTTTATTCCTATAAAACTTGGCAATGTTTAATAACTAGATAACATGTTAATCATCTAATTGCCTGCCCCAGTGTAATTTTCACTTTCTAAAACTTTCTATTTTCAAACAAGAAAAATAGAAACAAATACTTGAGGTAAATTCAGCTACAATGTTTTAATTACTATACAAAATGCTTAATGTCCGCCAATGTCTTTATTTCTCTTTTTAGGATCATTTCTTTCTTGAAAAGACAAAGATTTATCTGAGGATTTACTACATGCTCAGCATGCTGGAGTATGAAGTTCTAATAGGACAAGACAAATGCCTCAATATTTAAAAACGTGTTTAATATGACAGTTGGTCTAAGAAGTGGTTTATGCAAAGGATCAAGAATGTATGGCGGCTGCTAGGCTATGCCAAAGGAAATTGGTTCATCTTATTTATTCTGATGCTACATCTGTGCAGTAACACACTGACAGTAGGGAAATGGGAATACATGATATTCAAATGTCGTGTCATCATATAATATTAAGTATGCCGCTGTCACACACACAGAGGGCTATAGAGCATAGATTTTGCAAAGCAATGGCCCTATCTACCTCCTAGTGCCTGAACTTTTTATCCTGAAATTTTTACTGATAGTATTGAAAGGATTTTTATGGGGATCCTGAATATTCTTTCAAATTCCAAGCATTTTAAAATTAGTTAAATTTAAAATCCCACCATGGCTATCCTAGGCCTTATGACTAGTAATAAAGCTAAAGCAAGGAATTCAACACAAGTACGTTTAAATACAATCTTGTGCTAAAGTATATGAATATGAGGTTGATTGAAGAACCAGGGAAGTCACTTGTGAAATGATATGTTGCCTAGTAAAAATTCTGCAGCTACTCCTTTCTAATTTAAGAATTATTTTTTGCCACCACAGAAACTCAGATTTTGCAAAAGAGGTACCAATCTTCTCGGTTGCTAAAATGTTGTATACATACTTTCTGGATTACTCGTTATTTAAAAATTCTGAAGTTTGCCCCTGTCAGAGCACTTGTTCCAATTTTAGGTTAAAGGAAAAAGAACGCTACTCCTGGCCGACGACATCTCTCCCCAACTCCCGCTGCCTAATTTTCTATCAGCAGAGGTCTGGTCTGTGCTTTTTCATTTGAAAGTGGGCATTAACAGGGATGAGGAAACCTAACTGAGTTTAGATCCTAGAGTGCTTTGATTAAAAGTCCCTAATATCATTTTCCACGTCATCCAGATGCAGGGCTGCGTTAAACAGCCTCTTCAAACAAGGTCCCTGGCATCTGCAGACTTCTGCGATTAAAACGCCTCTCCGAAGAAATCATATAATGCCCCTGCTGGGGAATTGGTTGTGGAGGGCCAAGTCAACCGCCGTGCAGGAGCCAATCTTGTTTCTCTTCGAAAAGCCTTCCCGGGGTGAGCATCCCGCGCCAGCAACAGAGAGCGCCCGGGCACCACGTGTCTGCGCCAGCTGCCGGATTGGTGGAGCGCATTTTAGCGCTGCGGTCTAGATCCGCGCGGTCCCGCCCAGCTGCCAGAGGAGCCTGGGAGCCGAGGGAAGAGGCCACAGGGAGATCACCGCGGGGAAGGGGGCGGGTGGGGGGTGGGGGATCTCAAGTCGCCCGCGGCCTGGAGCCTGGGAGAACCCAGAGCTGCGCCAGACGATCCGTCTCGCCACAACTTGCCCTAGCGAGACACGTTGCATCCTGCGCCCTGCAAGAAGGAGCCGGCCCGCCTCTTAGAGCTCTGCTGCTTCTCGGCCTCCGCGGGCCCTGCCCGCGCCAGCAGCGCCCTGCCCTGGGTCCCCTGTGTCGCCCCCGTCCGCCTGCAGCGCCCGGCCTCCGCCAGGAGCGCGCAGCTGGGGTGAGCCGTGACCGGGGATGCGCTAGCCGCTCAAGGGAGCTGGTGACAGACTGGGCATCTCAGTACCCGCCTCTGCTGGCTGCGAGCGGAGCCGCCGCATATTCGTCTGGCGTGGCCACCGCAGTCCCTACTCCCTGTTTGCCTTCTAAGGAGCGACGCCCAGGCCCCAGAGGAGCCCGCGTCTTTCGGCCTTTGTTTCTGCGGGTTCGGCTGGCCGGCAGTGCCATGCGCCCGGGACGGGAGGCGCCACGCAAGGCTGGGGGCCCTGACCGGGATGAGGGGTGGAGGGATCGGAAAAGCGTGCCCCCTCTTTCCTGTTCCGGCCATCTTGTTACCGAGATTCCACCGAAGTAGGCAAGAGTGGCCAACAGTTTGGTTTCCCCAGCTAGTGGTGGCGGCAAACCGGGATGAGCGCCTCTGCCTCTGCCAGTGCGCCTCCGGGCTAAGACCGCTACGGGACACGCAGGCCGCCCCCACATTCAGCTCTTGTCCCAGAGCTTAATGGTCTCTAACAGGCCAGAGACAGCGAAATAGGAGGGATAAGGGACCAGGAGCTGGTATTTCCTTAACCAAACGCCTAATTCATTCCACGTTGCTTTATTCACGTGGTTACTCGGCAAATTCTGAATGCTTTCTCTGTGCCTGTCCTGTGATAGGTACTGGGGGATATATTGGTGAGCGAGAGAGACCACGGCCCTTGCTCCCGCAGACCCTGCAGCCCAGTGGATGGAGCCCAGAGACCACAGACCTACCAGGTCAGTGTTCTGAAGGGGAAACCGAGGCCTAGGGGCAACGTAATTTGCCTTGCATCAGGCAGCAAGTAAATGGAAGAAGACTAAGTCTTTGAACGCTCTCTGTCTTTTAGACTTTTATGCTAGGCTGCAGTGAATCGTTAATAGTTCTTTTTAATTTAAAGGCTCATTAAAAATTATTTGGAAGTTTGATTTGTAGAAGCCATTGGAAGTGCATATTTTATTTCCTGGATACTTTCGTGTGGGTTTGTTTCTAGTTCACAATATCTGGAGAGTGCTAAAAATATCTGATATTAGCACTTTGCTTCCAGTTACTCTGAATTGTTACTTTCCTTTCTTCTGTTCATATGTTTGACTGTTAGGAAAGAAAAAAGTTTTCCTGATGGTTTGTCCAAGCCGGGACTCCCCCGTGGATTGAGGAAAATCTGGCTTTTCCTCAGTTTACTGATCCCTGTGGTAACCACTGGTGGCCCCCAGAAGGCCCACAGAATGAGAGGCCTGAGGTCTATGCTGCTAGAAATATTTTAGCTTCTCCAGAAAACAGAATGCAGCCCCCGGCCAAGTTTGTAAGGTAAATACCGTGGCCTTGTAATGCTTGATGATGGTAAAGGTGGTGATTAAATCTCCTTCCCCCTCTCCCATCTGTTTTCATCTTCAGTATGCGGAGAATATACTCTCTTTGAAAGACAAGCACTGCACATATGGGGGTGGTTTTTGGTTTGTACTTTTATCAAAATGTTGTTATTTAGGCTCCCAACCCGTAGAGGAAGAAGGGCACTGTTTAAAAAGTGTCTCGGATGTAAGAAATTTACAAAGCCTGCCATCGAATATGGTTAACTACACATTCAATTTTGTAAACGTGTTTGAGGTATAATACCCAAGATGAACCCTTAATTTTTAAGTGTACAATTCGATGAATTTTGACAAATGGTATATACCCAGGTAGTCAACACCGCAATTGAAACAGAACATTTCTGTTATTCCAGAACTTTCCTCATTCCCATTTGCAGCCAGTCTCCCTCCACCTCATTTAATTTTATATGGCTTTACTACTTGACCTTCTCGAAGGTGTATGTAAGAACTGAGGATGGACAGATATTTCTAATTTCAAAACCTAGGGTGTGGACAGGAGTGAATAAGCAGAGGATGGTACCGTATCTAGGATCCAAAGTTCCCAGAAATGTAGCTCACCACGCCTGCCTTAGGGACTTAGAGTGGACAGCCCTAAAGGCCAGGGAGGGTAGGGTGATCCCCGGGGAGCCAGCGCCCAGGAGGTGACCTTTCCGGGTGAGGGGATGTGCGCACTCAGGCGCCTCCACGAGATCTCTTCTGGTCCCGCAGGGCCCTGGGCGCACGCTGACCGCGCGGAGTGCCCTTTGCTCGGTTCGGACTTGGGCGCTGCCATAGCAACGTCCTGGACGCCCAGACCTTAGGCCGCCGCCGCCGCCGCCGCCGGCCTCATCCAGCTCCCGAGGGGTGTGGCGGCGGCGGCCTTCGAGGCGGACCCGACCGGTAGACTAGACCGCCCCGCTTCTCCGGTGCAAGCAGAGCAGTGGATTGGCTTGCAAGCATGGTAAGAGGCGGGGGGCCGGGCTGCCCTCCCGGAGTAGCCGGACTTCGGGGGGGACGATCCACCCAGGCCCGAGGGCATCCCCCGCTCCCTATCCCTGCCTCCTCCCACCCCCGCCTCCCGCCGCGCTCTCTTTCTCTCGCAGCCCTTCCAGAAGCACGTCTACTACCCGCTCGGCGGCTGTCCGGAGGGCCCCGACGTCCCTGTGGCCGCCGGGGGCGCCTCATCCATGGCCTTTATACCCCCCAGCGCGGCTTCGGGCCCCATGCCCTTCTTCCAGTTCCGGCCGCGGCTGGAGAGCGTGGACTGGAGGCGGCTGAGCGCCATCGACGTGGACAAGGTGGCGGGGGCAGTGGACGTGCTGACGCTGCAGGAGAACATCATGAACATCACCTTCTGCAAGCTGGAGGATGAGAAGTGCCCGCACTGCCAGTCTGGCGTGGACCCGGTGCTGCTGAAGCTCATCCGCCTGGCGCAGCTCACCATCGAGTACCTGCTGCACTCGCAGGAGTTCCTCACCTCACAGCTGCACGCCCTGGAGGAGCGACTGCACCTGAGCCACGGGGAGGGCGAGCAGTGCAAGAAGCTGATCGCCAAGCAGGCTGGGGAGCTCAAGCTGCTCAAGGAGGAGTGCAGACGCAGGAAGAAGATGATCTCCACCCAGCAGCTGATGATCGAGGCCAAAGCCAGCTATTACCAGGTGGGACTCTGCGCTGTGAGCATGATTTGTAATTCAGTAAACAATACAGTTCCCAGCTCAGCGCCTGTGGCTCAAGTGGCTAAGGTGCCAGCCACATACACCTAAGGTGGCAGGTTCGAATCCAGCCTGGGCCCAGCAAACAATGACAGCTGCAACCAAAAAATAGTCTGGCGTTGTGGCAGCACCTGTGGTCCCAGCTACTTGGGAGGCTGAGGCAGGAGACGTGCTTGAGCCCAGGAGTTGGAGGTTGCTGTGAGCTATGATGCCACAGACACTCTACCCAGGGTGATAGCTTGAGGCTCTGTCTCAAAAAAAAAAAAAAAATACAGTTCCCATTTGAGAGGCCTTTCCTATATAGCACCACTATTTCTTCTTAAAGATTTCTGTGTATCAGAAGACACAGCATATTTAAGCAAAAACAGCCATTCTAACCAACAAATGACATGGTTCAATACCTTCTGCAGCCAACAGGGGTTTAATAATTAAGCAACTAACGTTGTCAGCAGTGTTTTATTGAAGTCCTCTAAATACTGGTTGTTGAAACTTTTCCTCCTCCTAATCGATGTCATGAAAAATCAGTGTCATGTCCCAATGGCTGTTGAGGTCAGCCCCCACACGATCTGGAATGTTTGAATTTGGGGGGGCTTTTCTCATTTTGTACGATTTTGGAATGTTTTCAAACTGTTAGAAAAGTTACCAGAAGAGTACAAATAATTTTCATATACCTTTCACCCAGATTCACCAATTATTAACATTCACCACACTTCCTCTACTTCTGTATACATATTACTGTTGCTTTTCAGCCATTTCACTCATTTCAACCATTTCAGCCTCCTAAACATTTGAATTTGTATATTTCCTAAGGACCAGAACATTCACTTACATAGGGATATTTAAAGAATGAGACATTTTCGTTGGTCTTCATCTCCAACGGTTATGGACTAGACATTGAACCTAAGATACCATAAATATTGCAATTTTTGAATATAACGGAAACCAATGTATATCCGTTACATCAATTGGTTGGAGGAAGTACAAAAGGCATACACATTGTTCTTTACCAACATTCTTTACCAATATTGAAGTAAGCAACAAATTGGTGAGATTAGTTTCACACCATGCTTTCTAGTCCTTTTGGCTAAGTATGGTTTAAAAGGCCTCAGTGGGCTGGTTGTGGTGGCTCACACTTGTAATCCTGACCCTCTGGAAGGCCAAGCAGGTGAATCTCTTGAGTTTAGGAGTTCCAGACCAGCCTGAGAGAGGACACCACAGCCTCTCCCCACCCCTGTCTCTACTAAAAAAAAAAAAAAATAGCTGGACATTGTGGCCAGCACCTGTAGTCCCAGCTACTGGGGAGGCTGAGGCAAGAGGATGGCTTGAGCCTAAGAGTTTGAGGTTGCTGTGAGCTAAGATGCCACAGCACTCTACGTGGGCAATAGAGTAAAAGTAAAAATTAAAATTAAAAAAAAAGAAGACCTCAGTGGATTGAGGAATAGTGGAGCAGAAGCATGCCTGATTGCTGGAGAACTGGGTTTAGGGCAGAGAAAATGGTGTTAGCATGCTTAGGACTGACCCAGCAGGAGTGCTGAAAGTGTGTGTAAGTTGGGAAAGAACAGTTTTAGAAGGACTTAAGGCTTGGCCTTTGATAGACAACCTTGAGGTCTAATCTTCAAATGATACTTGACATTACTTACTGCCTATTTGATTTATAAATGCAGTTTAAAAATTGACTTTTTTCTCTTATACAATGAATAGAATGGGTTCTATTTAGACATTTTAAAAATGTTTATTATACTCTAGCTTTGGTAGTCATCTAGTGAAAGATTAAAACCTCTAGCATATAGAAATTTTATGTTTAAATTTTCTTATTTCTTTGATTACCATAGAAATAGCTGTTAGAAGATTTTTAAATACGAATGCTATATAAGGATAAAGAGGTAATGACTCGACTTTATTAAATGAGTGACACTTGCCAACTCCTGATAACTCCATGGACTCCTAATGGCTGTGTTGACTATGTGTCACACTCAGAGTGTGACCTCAAACTGGCAGGTGTGACTACAGCACCATTTCCTCCTTAGTGTAATACAGGTACACTCTGTTCTCTGTTAAGTGACTTGTCATGGTGGGTAACAATTCCAGAGTTTGACTGTCTGGGTTTGGATCCTGGCTGTCCCCTGAGCAAGCCATTTAACTTCTAAACTTCAGTTTCCTTATGTGGAAAATGGGGACACTAGGAGTAGCTTACCTTTTAGGTTTGGTCTCAGAATTCCATTTTTAAATTTTTTTTTATTTTTCTCAATTCCATTTTAGCTACTCCAGTTTTAATTAGGAGTAAATAAGTATGTTTTTCTTGTTTTGAGTAGAAATAGTGACCTTTTAATAGAAATATATAGTAGAAATTATGACCTTTTAAAGCAGGGGTTGCACAGTGGCACCCAATAGGCTGAATTTGGTCTGCAGACCATTTTTGTTTGGCGAGTATGGTATTTACCTTTACTGGAAGATGTGTTTGGTGGCCAATACTCAGCAATTCATCATACTTCTGTCTTTCCCAGAGCATCTTATATTTGCTTACCCGGCCCCCCAACTTCAGAGATTCTGATTCAGAAGGTATAGAGTGAGGAATCTCTGCTGTTAAGAGGCAGACCACACCTTTCAGATGGCAGCAGAAACCATGCTCTACAGGAAAATGTTTGGTAAAAGGGGCTGTCCAAATACAAATACTGCAAGCTGGGGCCCCGGGAGGAAACTTGGCACCAGGTAGTGTTTTGGGGTTTTTTGGAGATGGAGCCTCAAGCTATTGCCCTGGTCCCGGGTAGAGTGCCGTTACATCTCAGCTCACAGCAACCTCCAGATCCTGGGCTCAAGTGATTCTCCTGCCTCCGCCTCTCAAGTAACTGGGACAACAGGCGCCTGCCACAATGCCCAGCTATTTTTTGGTTGCAGCTGTTGTCATTTAGCAGGCCCAGGCTGGATTCGAACCTGCCAGCTCAGGTGTATGTGGCTGGTGTCTTAGCCATTTGAGCCTCAGGCGCCGAGCCACCAGGTAGATATTTTGAGGATCTTTGTGTCCACTTTTAGAGCATTTATCCCTTAACTTAAAAAGAGACTATCAGGTGTTTAAAAGAGGGTGTGAATTGCTTATTTACTGAGGGACTGTTCCATCTGTGGCCTGTTTTTGTTCTGGCTTGGCTGGTGCATGGCTGTCCTGTGAACCTGAGTCGGGGAGAGCTCTTCCAGGTACCAGAGTTGGCTCGTGCGCTCCTGCCTAGACCGGGAAAGGTTATGAGAAAGGACTCTAGGATCTAGTGGGTTCAGATCTCATCCCTACTACTCTTTCAACTGCTAGACTTTGATAGGTCGTTGGACCTCTCTATACCTCAGTTTCTACTCTGGAATTTAAATAGTAATTGTACTTACCTCATGGCAGCTTTTGATGGGGATTGAATGAGTTAGTCCCTGCTTCAGAAGCAGTGCTTGGCATGTAGCCAGTTGTTAAATGTTTTAGCTGAAACCTGGGAGTGAGGGAAGAAGTGTTTTATGGCATAACAGATACCAAAACTGACTTATTACAAAATGAATGTGATATTCCGGCCATCATCTCAGTTTTCATCTCTCCCCCTAGACAGAAAATCAAAACCCTGGAGTTGGTCATTGCACAACGATGGGGCCCACTGTGTTACCAGTTTTACCTTTTAGAAATCATGATTTCATTCTCATATCACTTCTCTTTGCCTCCATTCCCCTTTGCTTCAAGAAATCCCAAGAATCAGGTAGCTGAGACTGAAAAAATTAAAGATGTCGGCTTCTTAAAGGCTTTCTTTTTCGTTGTTATGGATGTGTGTGTGTGTGTTGTGTGTGTGCCTTAAATGTGTAAGGGGTTAGGGACGGCAACGTGTAGGGGTTTTTCCTTCAACATTTTACTTCTAGAAAATTAAAACATACAGAAAAATTAAAACAGCTATATAGTGAATTCTGGTATGTGGGGGCTTTTAAAAGAAAAACCTCATTCATTTTTAAGTAAAGCTAATAATGGAATATTATAAACATGAAAAAGCACATAAACTAATGTAAGAGACACTGTATACCTGCCTCCTAGGTTTAACTCATGTTAATATTACACTGTATTTTCATCATTCTTCTGAGGAAAGTTATACAATATTTAAAACATTTTATAAATAATTTCCCTCCTTCCATTCCCAGAGGAAATCACTGCTTGTCTGTGTACTCTCTCTTTATTTCTTTATTGGAGACAGTTCTCACTCTGTTGCCTTGGGTAGAGTGCTTTGGTATCCTCATATTCACAGCAACCTCAAGACTCTTGGGCTCAAGAATTCCTCTTGCCTCAGTCTCCTGAGTAGCTGGGAATATAGTTACCCACCACCACTCCTGGCTAGTTTTTCTATTTTTGATAGAGATGGGGTCTTGCTCTTCTTCTCCTGAGCTCAAGCAATCCACCCGCCTCAGCCTCCCAGAGTGCTGCTGAGAGAGTGGCAGTGCCTCCATGGCTGGATGTCCCAAGCTCCTGTTTGCTGTAGCTGAGGGAATTGGAGGTTGGAAAGAGCCAGTATCAGATGGAACGTGTTGTTAGGGCCCCTTCTGGCTACATGTGTATGTTCAGGTGGGGCTGGAGAGTGAGGGAAGCTGGGCTTCTTCCTCCTCTCCTTTGCAGTGCTGGGAACAGCCCTGGAGTCCATGTAGGGAGTCCTTTACGTCCTCTGGGTGAATCAGAGCAGTTGTCTTGCACCTAAGAAATGCTCTAAGGATTCTCTGAAATGCATTTGCAGAGAAATATGACAGAATGTTGGTTTTAGAAACCGAAGCCTAAAGTCTAGATGCAGCTAGACTGGTTAAGAGTGAGGCAGTAAGGTAAACGAAGAGCATATTAACCGACATAGCAGAGATGAAAACTGCAAAATCCACGCTGGGAGAAACTGTATGTCAAGCTTTGGTCCCTTCTGCATAAGAACCGCAAGGAAAAAAAGAGGCTGAGGGGAGACCTATAGATTAAAAAAGAGTTAAGAGACATAACAACAGTTGCAGAAGTTGGGCCTTATTGTTCGTTTGTGTTTGTTTCTTGAGATAGAGTTTTAGTCTGTCATGCTGGGTAGAGTGCCGCAGTGTCATCACAGCTCACAGCAACCTCAAACTCCTAGGTTCAAGCAATCCTGTTGCCTAAGCCTCCCCAGTAGCTGGGACTAAGGGCACCTGCCACCACGCCTGGCTAGTTTTCCGATTTTTAGTAGAGACAGGGTCTTGCTCTTGCTCAGGCTGGTCTGTAACTCCTGAACTCAGGCAATCCATCTGCCTTGTCCTCCCAGAGTGCTAGGATTGCAGGCATGAGATACTGTGTCCCACTGGAACTCTTTTTCTGGAATGGCCATCAGAACTGTTGTCCTACCTGGTCTGATAATTAAGTTCATGAACTCATCCTAGGAAAAGTACATAACCTTGTTGCTGAATAATCAGTACAGAGACCAAGGGAAGTACCTCAAAGGTGACCAATGAAATAAAAAAATGTGAAAATACTAACTAGTAAGACATAAAATGATGAAAATAAGACAATCTGACATGACAGTGACTGGCAGGAGAATCTTCAGGGAAGACTTAATTGAGGATAATGTCATCATCCCCAGTAAAGAAGGTGCTCCATGAACAACTTTTGTGTTTGAGGCAGAATCTCATTCTGTGCCCTGTGTAGAGTGCCATAGTGTCATAGCTCACAGCAGCTTCAAACTCTCAGACTCAAGTGATCCTCTTGCCTCAGCCTCCTGAGTTGCTGGGACTACAGACAACACCCAGCTGGTTTTTCTATTTTTAGTAGAGATGGGGTCTTGCTCTTAGGCTGATCTTGAACTCCTGAGTTTAAGGGAATCCTCCTGCCTTAGCTTCCCAGAGTGCTAAGATTGCAGGTGTGAGCCACTGTGCCCAACCACTTCACAACCAACATTTTGAATGTCAGGAAGGTTCCAGCCATAGGGAGAGGGTCTGGGCAAAGTCAGGGAGGGGGAACAGTGAATGCAAAGACTCTGCAGTTGGCATGCTTGAGGGACAGAAAAAAGGATAGTATGGCTAGAGTGTCACAAACAAGTTGTTGGTGGTGCGGTGAGAACCAGCAGTCCAGCAGAAAGCACTAGAGGGGCTTCACTGCCTTGTGTCCTGTTTGGGGAGAATGCCCTGGTTTTACATTTCTCTTTTTAGTCATGCTCTCAGTTTCTCTTGCCAGGATGGTGTATTTGGGGGAGAAGACCTCAAAGAGGTATTACCTCAGTACCTGCATTTTAATTGCAATTAGGTAGAAAAATTCTTGTTGCAGACCCTTGGATTTGCTGCGCTCTGCTTTTCAGTGCCATTTCTGTGACAAGGCCTTTATGAACCAAGCTTTCCTACAAAGTCACATTCAGCGGCGCCACCCTGAAGATTCTCACTTTGGTAAGTAAAAGGCTCTGTTTTGGAGATGTTATCTTTCTGATCCCTTTTTCCTTTTTCTTTTTTTGTTTTTGTAGAGACAGTCTCACTTTATCACCCTTGGTAGAGTACTGTGGCGTCACAGCCCGCAGCAACCTCAAACGCTTGGGCTTAAGCGATTCTCTTGCCTCAGCCTCCCAAGTAGCTGGGACTACAGCCACAACACCTGGCTAATTTTTTTGTTGCAGTTTGGCCAGGGCCTGGTTTGAACTTGCAACCCTCAGTATATGGGGCTGGCGCCCTACCCACTGAGCCACAGGTGCTGCCCAATCCCTTTTTCCTTTTTACAATGAGACACAGTCCAATGCATTATTTCTCAATTTTTTGAAAAGAAAGCATCGTAGTTCTTGTTCATTCATTAGGTGAATATCAAGCACCTACTGGGTGCTGTTAGCAACAACAGGAGTTCTGTTCTCCTTAGTCTTGCATTCTAATTGTGGTGGGGGGACAAGGTGACACATTTGAGGAAACAAGTCCTTCTTAATAGTCACAAGTGTGATGAAGATCATGTTGCAGAAGAATGGGGTAGAGAATGAGTCTGTTGTAAGGCCTCGCCAAAGAGGCAACATCTGTTCTAAGACCAAAATGATCAGGAGGTTCCAGTCTGGTGAAAACCTGGGAAAAGAGTATCCCAAGCCAAGGGATTGCCAGTGGTAAGTGGTGTGAGGGGACACCAGGGCTGTGCATTTGAGGAACAGAGAGGAGGCTGGTGCAGTGTTGAGCAAGGCCAGGGTGTGTGGTAAGTCTGGAGAGGTGGGACGAGGCCATGACGGCCGTCGGCTGGAATGTGCATGGAATGGGAGGCCCTTGGAGGGTTTTAGGCAGGGTGGCATAATCTAATCTGGACCTTAAAATGACACCCGTGGCTGAGGATGGATACTAGACTGTAGTTGACGGTGGAAATAGGAGGAGTGAGGAGGCTGCAGGTAAAGGAGTTGGTAGCCAGGACTTCAGTGGTCCAGAGCAGGTGGGAGGTGAAGATGGAAAGGATGAGTGTGGGCCCAGAGCCCATGGAGGAGTGACTCAGCGTGACAGTGAGGGAGAAGCACAGACAGTGCTGGGTTTCTGTTCTCCATGCATGGGTGCATGGTGGCTGTGTCTCCTAGGGCGGGAAGCATTTGAAGGAAGAAGAAGAATGGAGAATCTGTGTTGGCCATGAGTACGTTGACATCACACGTAAAATAGATGTGCAAATGTGGGCCCTAGCAGGCTGCAGCTTGAGGTGGAGACCCAGGCTGGAGCTCAAAATCCAAGGCACATTCAGATAGAGCTGAGCTGGCCAAGATCACCTCAAAAGATAAGAGAAGATGGTGAGGCCAGGCCAAGGCTCTTCCACCACCAGGAGCTCAGGAAGAGCAGCAGTGAAGAGCGAGCCATAGCCTCTGACAAGGCAGGAGGGAAGCCTAGGGAGTGGGTTGTCATGGAAACGCTGGAAAAGGATTTCTAAAAGGAGGCAGTGATCAGTTGTATTAAATGTTCTGGAGGCACAGATTAAGATGAAGACTGAGAATTTACTGGTGTTGTGAATACAGCTGTTGGTGACCTCGACACTGATGCTCAATGCACTGCAGGGGACAAAAGCCTGATTTTAGTGAGCCAAGCTGAAAATCAAGGGGCACTGGGCCTATGGGATCTAGACATCAATTTCAGTAACATTTCCTAGGAAGGAGAGCAGAGATATGAGACATTATCATCTGGACAGAAACATGGGACCAAGGGAAAATTTTTGTTTTGTTTGACGTGGGAGATACTAAGATGTGTTTGGGGGCTGATAGGAACCAGAATATAGAGGGGAGATGAAGGCAGAAGAGAGGGAAGGCGGCTCTGTGGCTTACTATTTCTCAAAAGCAAAGAATGTAAAGTGTCTTCTCCACTAGCAGATCAAAGCTTTCTGCAGATTGCCACAGTAACACACAGAAGTTTCTCCTTCTGATCTTGAATGTTTGCAATATCTAGACATGTGTACTTAGCTTGTTAGAAACTGCCTGCGTTCCCTTCCATTCTGGGCCAGTCTATTTCCATGCCTGCCCATTTCTGGTAAATAGCTTTACTTAAGGAATAGCTACGATTTGTAGAAACAAAATAAACGGGATAAAATTCCATTTATAAGCCTTGGACCACTGACAAAATTTAGCAGTCTATTGGAAAAGTTGAACAGATGAAATATTTTAATTAATCTGTCATTCTTCAGCGTGAAACTGACCTTCTTTCTCTTCTGTTTCAGTATCTTACTCTATCTCATACTCATTCCAGAGAGGGTTTCAGACTCTGAAATGAGTATTATTTCTTCAGGTCATCTTTGCGATTCTGACTTTCTACTTTGGTTTCCATCCCTTTCATGTCTGCACTCACAGACACATGTATACCCATTCAGTCATGTGTACATCTGCATGTAAGTACATGTGCATAAGTATTCTTCCCTTCACTTGTTGCTTCCTTTTACAACTTTCTGGTACCTCACTTTTGCCCCAGTTGATAGAGTATGGCCCGAGTTTGCATTTGGAATGCCAGTGCCAGCCTGGCAGCCTTGGGGGTCCTCAGGAATGTTCAGTGGGGGCCAGAAGGATGGTGCCCATAGAGATGTGAGCATGGTGGTTCCTGCAGTGAGAGCTGTTGCTTCCCTCCTCTGACTGAGACAGGCATCTCTAAGAAGAGCCCCGGGTGCCACTAGGTCAGAGCAGGCAGGATTATTCCTTGTTACCTTATTGCCCCCTGAACAGGGCTCTCACACGGTCCCTCTAGGATAATTTAACCTCAGCACAGAGGCTGAAAGAATCTGCTAAAAATAATTCAGTGCTCCAAAATACGAAGCACTCCAGATAAACACCAAAGAGCAAAAATTGGCTCAAGTGGCATGAACGAAGTAATAGTATCTCAAGTAAGAGCAGTTTCCTTTGTCTTGCCAATAGGATCATACCCCGTAAGTTTTCCGCTGCTTTTCTTAAGAGTGGGTGTCTTAATGAGATTTTCTATTGCAGCAGAGTATAAGAAAAAGGCGCAGACTGACAAGCTCCAGAATGAGATCGACTTGCTGAAGGAGCATCTGCAGCTCACCCAGTCCCAGTTAGAGGCAGCCCAGCACTCCCATGCAGTCAGACTGTCCAAGGTATGTGGAGACATTTGGAAACGATGGTGCTTTAATCACAGTGGGCTGTAGGTAATTCAGTTGTGCCACTGCCTCTAATAAACGGATGACACGTAGGAGTTTGTGCAACTCAATAAAATGTGATTGTATTTTCTATTGCTGGTGTACTCTTTAGTGTCTTACTTCAAAGCATATCACTGGTAGTATCGGTCTCTTTTTTGGAGGTGTTTTTTTTTAATTGAGGTGAAATTCTCATAATGTACAACTTTATGTATTTTCCTCCATTTGCTTAAAGTAATCCATGTCTGTTTTCTTACATTTCCATGAGTCAGAAGTCTGACCCACATCTCACTAGGCTAAAATCAAGGAGTCAAGAGGGCCGTGTTCCTTACTGGAAGCTATAAGAGAGAATATTTCCGGCTTATGTGGCTGTTGGCAGAATTCAATACCTTGCAGGTTGCAGGACTGAGATCCACACCTTTGTGCTGGCTGTCCACTAAGGGCTGCTCCTGACGGCCCTGTGAAGCTGCCTGTGATCCTTGGCTCTGGGCCTTCCTTCTCCATATTGACCACCAACAGTAGGTCACGTCCCTCTCATGCCTTAGATCTGCTCTGTTTTCTTCCTTCTCATCTGACCCACGTGTCAGCCCTGTTGGAGGCTTGGAGTATCTTGCTCAGACTTAGTTACTCAGGGAGAAAGAAGGCTGTGCTGTGTTAGTACTGACCGCTGTGGGTCACTGTGGTCACTGTGGTCACTGTGCTATGCTGTGGGTACCAAGTACGCCATAGCTAATCCAGTAAGATTAACTTCCATACACTTAATACAAAGACTAAGACCAATGAAGAGCATTTCTTTCCTGGTCCCTGCTGAAGGGACAGCATGCTCAGTCTTCCTTGTTTCCCCCATGGGGACAAGAAGTATGACTTTGTAGAGGGGACAGCAATTCATTTGACATGGGGTATTGATCCTTCTGTCACTGGCTTGTTTCACTTAGTGTGATGTCCTCAAGGTTTATCTGTGTCACAGCCTGTGTCAGAATTCCCTTGCCCTTCAGACTGAATATGGTTTCATTGCACGTGTGTACCACATTTTGTTTATCCATTCATTTGCTGTCGTACACATGGGTTGCTGCCACTTCTTAGCCATTGTGAGTGACGCTGCTATGAACATGGGCATACCACTGGCTCTTTGAGACACAGTTAACCATTTTACAGTGTATAATTCAGTAGCATTTAGTATATTCACAATGTCGTGCAACCACCAACTCTCTAGTTTTGAATGTTCTTCAGCCCCACAGAAAAATTACCTATACCCAGTCACTCCCACTATCCCTGTCCTCTGGTGACCTCTAATCTTTTTGTCTCTGAATTAACCTATTCTGAATATATCACACTCACAAAATAACATACGTGTGACCTTTTACATCAGGTTTCTTTCTTTTTCTTTCTTTCTTTTTTTTTTTTAAAGACAGAGTCTCACTTTGTCGCCCTCAGTAGAGTGCTGTGGCATCACAGCTCACAGCAACCTCCAGCTCTTGGGCTTGGGCGATTCTCTTGCCTCAGCCTCCCAAGTGGCTGGGACTATAGGTGCCCACTACAACGCCTGGCTATTTTGTTGTTGTTGTTGTTGCAGTTTGACCGGGGCCGGGTTTAAACTCACCACCCTCGAAGCATATGGGGCCAGTGCCCTACTCACTGAGCCATAGGCGCCACCCATATTATAATGTTTTCAAGGCTCATCTAAGTTGTAGGTGTATCAGTATTTCATTCTGTTCTATTGCTGAGTAATAAATGGTCTGTTGTGTATATGTCTAGACAATAATTTGTTTATCCAGTCATCTCATTGACTTTGTGTCTACCTTTTTGGCTATGATGAATAATGTAGCTGTAAACATTTGTGTGCAAGTTTCTATGTGGACATTTTCCTTGAGTACACATATATATATTTGGGAGTAGAATTGCTACGTCTTGTGGTAATCCCATGTTTAACTTTTTGAAGAACTGTCAAAGTGTTTTCCACATTAGCTGCAGCATTTTGTATTTCCAATAATATTCATATTTGCTAACACTTAACAGGCTTTTGGGAGGGGGGGAGACAG